CGAGAATGGCGTTCCTTCGGTTTCAGGAAGATTTCGGCCTCCTGGGCCCTTCTGAAACCCTCGACAAGGTTACCAGCAATCGCCTCCCTTAACTCATTCAAGGTCGCCCCCTTCAATGTCGAAGCAAAGCGAGATTCGGTCTGGGCGGACGCGACTCGGAAGTTCCCCGATGACCGGCCCTGAAGAGGGAGCGCCAGCAAGTACCTTGCGCGCAGTGTCCCACAGGCCCAAAAGCTGCGTGACACATGTTTGAGGTAAATTTCTGAGCATTTTCTTAAGTGGTGGGCTCAGGGTGAAATCCATATGGGCATTCGCACCTCGAAAATCAATCCGTCTTGTGACTCGTCTTGTGACTCACCTCGTGCAGATTCAAGCCTCGAAAATCAATCGAGACGGCATTTCAGATTTCACCCTCTGCCCTCCACTCAAAGAAAATGCTCGGACTTTGGCCGAGGATCACAATAGGAAGCCTCTCAGGGCCCCTTTTGGGCCTCTTGGAGTCTTGTGGGAGCAGTGTGCGGGGGGGCGTCGTCGAAGCATCTTGGGGGCTCTGGGGCCCAACTTGGGGGCAATCCTGGACGATCCTGGCGGCCGCGAGGGCGGTCTGGAGGCCCGCAGGGGTCGTCTTGAGGCTCAACAGGCGGTCCTGGGGCGGTCTTGAGAGGCCAGCGGGGCTCCGGAGCAGTCATGGATGGGCGGGGTCCTCGGGCCGAGGGCCCCGTCCCCGTCGCCATACCAGGTCGCCCCACGCGAACTGTACATATATATATGTATATATATATATGTACATATGTATACATGTGTGTATATACATACGCAGATCGACAAAGACAGGGCGAGGTGGAGAGAGAGAGAGAGACAGAGAGAGATTTGTGCAAATAGTGAGACGACAGCGGCATATCTAGAAATGACATAGATTCAATTAGACATGTAGAGAGAGGGAGGAGAAACAGAAAGGGATACATATATCTATATATATATATATAGATATACACGGATAATCTGTTATGACAAAAACACACGCTGGGTGATATAACAGACCGAGAGAGAGAGATATTGAATGTGAGATGGCAGAGAGAGAGAGAGAGCGAAGAAAAAGAGAGATATCGAATGCCATATGGTCCAAGGGAAGAAGAGACAAAGAGGGAAAACGATGGAGGAAGAACAAGTGCGATTCGACAGGGAGAGAGAGAGAGAGAGAGAGAGAAAAAGAGAGAGAGAGAGACAAAAAGAGGGAGGGGTGAGATTAGGCAGATAGTCATACCTTTGTATACATACAGATATACAAACAGATGACCGGTTCCGGAAACCCTGAACCCAAAATGTCTTCATCTCTTGGGGGGGCTCATCTTTTCCTTCCGCCACCTACCGCCGACGTTCCGCCGCCCTTTCGCCGAGGAAGAGATGGTAACTCGTCCGATCCTCGAAGGCAAGGCCCTTCTTGGAGCGCCCCTTATATATAGATATTTATATTTATATTTATATATATATATAAATATTCATATATATGTAGTCATATATATGCGTGTGTACGTTTATAATACATGCACATATATATATATAGACATATGTGCATATATACATATCTCTATATATACATATACATGTATCCGCCACCGTGCCCTTGAGGCACGAGTCCGAGTGTTCCCAAGTCTCTTGCTCGATCCCCTGGAGCATCAGGCCTCAATGCTGAGGATTCGTTTAGAGGCCTGGGCCCCAGGTTGCCAATCTCCCAGGGCTCGTCGCGTGGCTCCCGGGGCTGGGCGCGTCTTCCCGCATGACCTCTTCGGGCCGACGAGGGCCCCAAGACGAACCAAGAGCCCCAAGAGACCCCAAGACGGTCCGAGAGGGGCCCGAATCGCCGAACGATCGGTCCACGACGCCCAAGATAGCCTCCAGTCGGCCGAACGGGCGCCCAAGACCCCCTAAAAGGCCTCTCAGAGCTTGCCCAATAGCGCCCCGAGAGGGCAACATCACTGATTGTCCTAAGCGTTGTTCAGTGTTTTCTGAATTGTTCACTGTTCGAGCTCCCGACGCTCCAAGACGTCCTAAGCGGGCCCCAAGACCGCCCCCCAAGAGGGCCCTAAGACGGCCCCGAGAAGGGCCCAAGAGGGGGAGCACGAACCGAAAATCCAAGCGTTCCACCCCAAGAGGCACCGAGGAGGCCCCCAGCGGCACCCAGGAGGCCCCAAGATGCTCCCAAGAGGCCCCCACGAGGCCCCGAGAGGCGCCAAAGAGGCCCAACAGAGGCCCAAAAGGGACCCCAAAAGAGTCCCCCAGAGGTCTCAAAACGGCTTCCACGAGAACCGCCTGAGAGGCTTCCCACGACATCCCAACGAACATCCTTGAGGCCGATGACCGACAACCCAGGCACAGTGGCGGGATGGCCATTACAAACAGGGGGGGAAAGAGAGAGAGAGAGAGAGAGCAAGAGAAAGAGAGAGAGAGAGAGAAAGAGACCCAACAGAAAAAAACGAAAACGAGAAAGCGAGACAGAGTAAAAGAGAGAGAGAGAGAGGAAATGGCATGGCAAAGCGAAAGAAAGAGAGAGAGAGAGAGAGAGAGGGAAAGAGAGAGAGAGAGAGAGAGAGACGGCGCGCGAGAGAGAGAGAGATAATATGATATGGCTGAACGATATATCTAGGATGAAAAAGAGGAGGCGGACAGAATCAAAGCGAGAAAGAGAGAGAGGGATAAGGTGAGACTACAGAGAGGGACAGAGGGCGAGAGACGGTGAGAGGACAGGGAGAGAGCGAGACAGAGAGAGAAAGAGAAAGCGAGACCCTAAGGGTCATCAAGAGGTGCACTGCAAGGTCGTCTGGCCTGATTCTGCTTCCAGGAGGTGCCGCCCCTTCTTCGCAAAGCGGTCTGGGGGCGCGCACCAACGCGCGGACCACTCTGGCAACCGAAGGGACAAAGGGTGTGGACGGATGAAGCTAAGGAATCCTCCTCCTCCTCCTCCTCCTCCTCCTCCTCCTCCTCTTCGCCATCATCATCATCATCATCATCATCATCATCATCATCATCATCATCATCATCGTCATCACCATCATCACCAGCATCATCATCAATCACATCAGCATCGTCATCAGCATCACCATCATCACCAGCATCATTCATCACCACCAACATCATCAGCATCGTCGTCAGCATCACAACCAGCAACATCATTATCAGCATCACCATCATCACCATCATCATCAGCAACAACATCATCATCATCATCATCATCATCATCATCATCATCATCATCATGGTCCGCTCCGCTACCGCTCTCTGTGACCGCTTGCCAGCACTCTGCCCGTGTCCTCCCTTTCCCTGCTGGTCTCGCCATCGACCTTTTTCCGTTTCGTGGGCCTGGCGCACAGAACGCGAGTGCCCCCCCCGGTCTGCATGGTGGCTCGACCCTCCCTCTCGCGAGTGCTTGCTCTCTGTGACGCGACGCTTTCCTCCGAAGGCAAACCGAACAGAGGGAGGGGGCAAGACGGGGAGGTGGGAAGGAGAAAGGGGAAGGCGAGGGGAGAGGGCCACAGGGACAACACTGGACGCGAAGCTGCGGAGAAACATGAGCGTGCGCTGCGATGCAGAAGCTGGTGGAGCGAGGCTCGGTACACTGTGTTCCTCTCGGCGACTACCATGGGTGCGGTTTGCGACGGGTGCGGTTTGCCTCCCGTCATACCTGCCCCTCCCGCCCTCGGGAAACGGCTGACACTGTCACTCAGTGCAACCGAATCACATGACACTGTCGCTCCTTCTGCTACAGTGGAGCACACATCGAGGATGACAGCGTCGCTCGAAACGACGACAATTATGACACTGTCTCTCACAAAAGGCCCCGGCAAGGCCGCCACAAAGCAGCTCGCAAACGGCACCCTGGCGTAACCGCACCGATTGTAGTCGCCGACCCTCGTGCCAGCCCCAGCTGGCCATCGCTCGGACGTCCATTTCCTGTGTTTTTTCGGTTTCGTGCGTGGCTTTTTCGCGAAATGATCAAGGATGCTCCTCGATGGACCTCGCCGAAGGAAAAGTGCACACGTCCGAGCGGTGCCAGCCCCAGAGCGCCCGGGGCGCGTCCTGCGGCCACCTGCCCGGGACAAAAGGGTCAGTCGGCCGGAGGCGGCCTCGAACAGCAGAGGGGCCCGCGAGAGGGTCCAGGGCTGCGCCCTGCCCTCCCGCCTGGCCCAAGGGCATGCACACACAGTCGGGGCCCTGAAGAAGGAACCCTTCTCGTTGGGGAGGGGCTCCGTGTTCCTCGATTGTTTCGCAGCTTGCCTCAGATTGTCCTCAGGTTTTCGATGCGACATCGAAGTTAAGTTATGGAAGATAGGGGCCTCGTTCCTTATTTGGGGTTCCTTAGGTCAACGCCTCGACTGTACCTAGGGGGGGCGAATCTGGACAATCGCGTACAGTCGGAGACGGGGGGCGCCAACCACACATCGGAGAGCCAGAGGGCCCGCAAAAGGCGCGGCGTGGCCAAGCCGCGCCAATGCCCGAGGAGGCCGGTGCTGGTCAGCGCTGGCGCTCACTTCCTCCTCCTCCTCCTCCTCCTCCTCCGCCTCCTCCTCCTCTCCTCCTCCTCCTCCTCCTCCTCCTCCTCCTCCTCCTCCTCCGCCTCCTCCTCCTCCTCCGCCTCCTCCTCCTCCTCCTCACTTCCGCAGGATTCCCGCGACGCTGACATCGAAGAGGGCAACACACATCACGTGTGCGGCATGAGCGCGGCCGTACCATGAAACGGAGCGAAGATGGAAAGCCGTGCTGCAACTGCTGCGCAACGCAGCCAGTAGTAGACTGTTCGCCCGCTGGTCCACTAGCGAGAGGGTGGCCCCGAAGTGCAGCGTGTGCGCGGCAATCGACCGTTATTTGACATATACCGGGAAAACTGTTGCCATGCCTTCGCGTACGGCGGCACCCAGTCTGAGGGCGTGGCAGGAGGCATGCAAATCAAGGAACCCGCTCGAAAACAACATCTATAGCTTGTCTATAACACTCTCGGTGGGCAT